ACACACACACACACAAACAAACAAACAAGCAAGCAAACAAACAAACATACAAACACACAAACAAACAAGCAAGCAAACAAACAAACAAACAGCCTAGCAAACACACGCACACACAAACGAACAAAAAAAAAAAAACCATACAGGCAATCAAGCAAACACACCAATGATATATACATGCATACATACATACATACGTACATACATACATACATACATACACAGATAAATCCATGCATGCATGCATGCATGCATGCATGCATGCATGCATGCATGCATGCATGCAGATACACATACACACACACACACACATGTGTGTGCTTAAGGTTTAGGTTCAGGGATCTGGTCTTTGGGTCTGAGATTAACGGCGTAGGATTTCGGGATGTAGGAAGGGATGCTGTTTTTGACTCTGTCACGAGGTGGCAGGCATACCAAAGCTAAGCCTGCGAGCTGAAACAGCTTAATTAGCAGTCTGATCCTTGAAATTTTCAAAGGAGAAGACACAACAGCAGAATCGCATGCTGACAAAAGCTGAACTGTTTACCTTGAGGAATAAGGTTCATCAGTTGGCACTTGTGGCCGTTCCGGTGCTGGCGAATCTGAGAAAAGGGTTCAATTAAAGTGCATAAGCAGCAAACACCTCATTACCCAATCAACAGTACAACAACACAACGGAATAAACACTGGTTAGTATCCAGGCAATGTAGCAATGCCAAACATCAGCAAAGAAGTGCTGATGCCTAGATCCTTACGATTCTGCCGAGGAGACTGCAGAAGCTGCGGGAAGCCTCGGCGCAGTCGGCAGCAGTCTTAGGAGGATTCGCCTTCTATGAGCCTTCTATTTAGGGTTTAGGGTTTATGGTTGGCTTAGGTCGGGTTCAGGGTTTAGGGTTTCGGGCTCGGCGGGGGCCGTCGGAGCCCAGTCTGGGAAGACTCCGGAACAGAAGCCCGGAGCCCCACATGTTCAATGTCAGCTGCATGACCTCGAAATCCTAAGCCCTACCCTCCACGACCAGAACCCTGCATCAGTTGTGTCTTAGGTCCACGTAAGAGTGGATCTTTAGGGGGGTTCATATATATGTATATATGTACATATATAAAATATCTGTATACACATAGATAGACATACATGTGTGTGTATGCATGTATGTATGTATGTACGTACATACGTAAGTATGTATGTGTGTGTATGCATGCAATGCATGCAGGCATGCATGCACGGAGGGATGGATGGATGGATGGATGGATGGATGGATGTGTGTCTATGCATGTATGTATGCATGACGGTGCTTAGGTCGTTTAGGTGGCTTGGCAGGTCATGTGTTATCACCACAGTTCAGCGGAAAGCTCAGTGCGGCGGCACGATCATGACAGTTGAGTCCTCACAAGACCTGCATGCTTTGTGCAAACTTTATCGCCAACTACAGAATAACAGCTCTAACTTCGCGGTGTCAGTCCGCTCCAATTTCGGTATGTGGAGCATTGAACTCAAGAAATGCAACCGCGTATCACGATTCAGGGAATGTGATGACCTAATGTAGGCCTTCACAATTAGACTAGGTTGTTGGGGTATATTATACTATAGCTATAGTAAGGAACGCTCCCCAAAAATACGATTGGTAATTATTTAGACCCCGGTATGTTGTGGATAGTTCTCTAAATTAGGGTCGAAACGGTTTGTATTGCCTTCAGTCGACAGGTCGCGGCCTCAGACGCAACGTGCAGCAAACAAATAGGGTCCCTTTTCGGGTCCCCAATATCGTACGGCACGCTTATAAATTTATAAAAAGGATCCCAAGAAGGACCCTAATTTAGAAAATTACCCATGTACAAATATACAGGGGTCAATACCCCTGAACCCCAGAGGAGGTCCCCATTTGACGGTCTATGCAACACTCGGGGTTTAGGGGTTTAGGGTTTAGGGCTTTAGGGTTTTGGGTTTAGGGGTTTGGGGTTTAATTAGGGGATTAGGGGTTTAGGGGTGTAGGGGTTTAGGAGTTAGAGGTAATCAAGCTCTCGGCGCCCGGCTCAGTTTTGACAGCAACTTCCTCTGCCGCGTTTCGAGCCGGCCTGCGCGAAACAACTTCTCCAAGGGTTTACGGTTTAGGGTTTAGGGTTTAGGTCTTTGTCCTGAACACCTGCATGGTACAAAGTAGGGTATCTATGATGACAGTGAACAGTATAGCTTGTGTAAGTATTGCTCATACAGGTACTTTTGAATTTCGACCGGTCTCCTAGATCTCTGCTGAAGCCATGATGAGCAAAGCTCCCACTTCCCTCTCGGATCAGGAAGGAGATCCTGCCATTCGTGTACCGAAAGACAACTTTTCTTGGCAAGGGCATGCGGGGCCTAGACCTTGTAGGCTCAAAACCTCTCATATACCAATTGTCTACATGTTTGATCGAAACCAGGCTGTAGGTATTCTAGATTCTGGTCCCTTGTCAGCAACGTCTGATCTTATAAACCTTGTTTCCTAGCGTCTTCAAGATCTGTCGGGTTTCAGTCTTGTGCTGATTTGGAGTCCCCGCCAAGGCTTTAGGGTTTCAGGGTATACCCATAGGCCCCATAGT